GCGTCAAAACAAGGTGCCTTTCAGCCGTCGCATAGTTAACTATCCCGCACACGCAATATTTCCTAGGCGAACATTAACCAGAGAAGCAAAAAACAATGTATGCGCATAAGTTAGCTATTTCCTTGGACTCTGCGCATATACTTTTTGTGACTTAGTTATCAGTGGGTTCTTTCTTGTTGAGCCGTTCAGCGTACATTTTCAGCGGTTTCAAATTGAAAATGTAAATCTGACATGCGCGAACTAAATTTCCACTGGCGGGCGTTTTGAAACAGCCGTGTGACAGCTTCCTGGTCTGCTCTCGAAAAAACGGAAAATGAAAAAGAAGTGCGTGATGCGGAGGTCTGCAGTAGATTTCAAATTCGCGGCCGTCGAGTTGTAGTAGTAGTAGTAGTAGTAGTAGTGGTAGTAGTACTAGTAGTAGTAGTACTAGTAGTAGTAGTAGTAGATTAATTTATACTCAAAATTTATGGAGCTTGTCAGGCACCTAGCTTAGATAGCTAATGAATTGAGTAGAAATTAAATGAAATATAAAACTAAAAAGTTACAATAAAAGTTCAGAGATAATAGGTAAAATATAAGGTTAACTAATTAATTAATTAATCAATCAACCAATTAATAACATTATAAATACACTGATATAGCTATATACATGCTACTGAAAAGATAGGGTACTAAAACTACATCCAGAGTAAAGATTACATTAGGTCTAAGAGCTACAAAGGGTACAGTTACATACGTCAAAAGTAATTTTCCTAATACGTGTTACAAACTCTTTTAGTGTTTGTGAAGTTCTTAAGTCATTATTTAAAGAGTTCCAGGTTTTTGGACCTAAGTACCTGAAAGTATTTAGCCCATGCTTAGTAGTGTTGACTCTGGGTTGTACAAGAATCAGTTCGCCACGTAGGAGTTGTTTCCAGAAGAGTCCACGCCATGTGAGTTGTTTCTAAGCGTCAGCAGAGTACGAAGGGGATTTGATGTTGTCCCGTGGATAACTTTATGAATAAGAATGCACATGTCCTGGACTCTTCTGTTGCGCAATGTGGGCATATTTACTGTTTCAAGTAGAGTACTATAAGCACTAGTACTGTTGTTAAGGACTGATCTTAAAGCACGCTCGTTGAGTTTTTCAAGTGTAGCCGATGTTGTTTTTCCACAGTGCATCCACACTGTGGAACAATAGGTAAAGTGAGGAAGAATGTAAGCCTTATATAGTGTAAGCTTGGTTTGAAAGCTAAGAAGCTTTCTAAACCGGCATATGATTGTAATTTGCTTGCTAATCTTCTTGCATAGTGAAGCCGCTACGTGATTGTTGAAATTCAGCCGGTCATCTATAAGCACGCCCAGGAGTTTGCAGGTGGTAGAGGGTTGTATAGATGTTCCATCAATCGTGAAGCTGATTTTGTCTTTCTTTGCTTGGTTATGTTGGAGGTTCGATTTTGTGAAGACCAAGGATTCACATTTCTTAGCATTTAGGAGTAGGCCGTTGTCCTTCATCCAGCTTGAAACCACAGCTAGTTCAGAATTTAGGATCCTCTGTACAATTCTTGCGTTTGCGTTACTACAGTAAAGTTGTTTGTCGTCTGCATATGCGGATAGTTTGGCTTTTTTAATGTTGTAGAACAAGTCTTTTATAAAAATGTTGAATCGCTGCGGGCCTAATACATACCCTTGTGGAACACCTGACCTTATCTTTTCGGTGCGTGAACGAATGACATTTAGCTTAAGACATTGTGTTCTGTTTTTCAGATAGTTTGCCAGTAGAAGTTAGGCTTTCTAGGCTGACACCGTACGCTGCAAGCTTTTCAAGTAGTAGATTGTGAGGGAGGCGATCAAAGGCTTTGCTGAGGTCAATTAATGTCGTTCCAACAGTGTTGTTTGAATCTAGTTCAGTTTTCCAGTCTTCAGTCAGTCTCAGCAAGGTAGTACAGCAGCTGTGGTTCTTTCGGTAGGCAGTTAGGGTGGCTGGGAAGATAGTTTCAAAGTAAGAGGTTAACTGAGGACATAAACTTTTTTCAAACACTTTGCTAATTACAGGCAGAATAGTNGTACCAGGGAAAAATATCCCATTTTAGGAGCCTGCTGACGTGTAAACAAGCACGGTGACCCCCATTTTTTTTATTTCATGAATGTTAATTATACCAAATTTCAAAAAAAGTTCGATAGTCGAACAATTTGAAGGAAATTACCTTAAGGCAAAACGTGGAATCTAAAAACGGAATACGACGCTGAGAAAACCGTCCTCAAGCTGGATTTCAATTGAGAATCCAATTCCGGAGCGCGTGGATTTTTATGATTCACTATTTGAGAAATATAGAGAGGGATTTGCGAAACTGCAGCTGTTCTACGAAGGGTCTCCCTAGAAATTTTCTTTCTCTTTTGACTTCAATTTCGCTTCCCCCCTCTCCCCTCCGCGTTGTTTTGTTTTCACGCCTGGCGTGCGTGAGTTTTTACGAACTGGCCAATCGCGTCGGGGACTTTGGGCTTGGCCTTGACATTGAAAAGAGGCTGGCGTGTACATTTTGTTCTTGTATCTTAGTCTTTTCTATTTATTTTCAGTACGGAGTTTAGTTTGGATTGTTGTTGTCTAATTCCTCAGTTTGGAATTTTTACAAGTTTAAGGAGTTTTATTCAACTAGCCAATGTGAATTTCAATGACATAATTTCCACGGAGTAAAATATTAATATAAAATGTTAATAAATGTTACTAAATTGATATGATTTTAGAAATTTCTCTGTTGTTCAGCTCTAAAATTATACTAAAACAATTCTTCGCCTCAGGTTCGGTGAATTTTGTCTAATAATCCCCTCGAATTCGTGGCTAAAGAACTACCTTAAACGTGCGCACAATACTCAAGGTCGTTATACGATCCGCTGGCTGAATTTTACCTCTTTTCACAACGATCACTTCCAAGATCTATGCAAACTGAATAATGGCTGGGACGACCTTCTCCACGAGGGACTTTCTTTGAGATACTCGCAATAGTTATCTGATCTGTCAAAGGCCAGATATCCAGATCCAAAAATGTTATCTTATAGACGAGAGCGTCATTTCAATTCAATTACACGATTTTGGAGATGGATCGGAAGCTGCGTATGCGGTAACAGTTCATCTAAGAGTTGAGACGAGACAAAGAGTCTAGATTTGGTTATTTTTTTCTTTGAGTTTTCGTTCATGCCTATTTCAAGTCCCTCAGTTTGGAATTTTTTACGAAGTAAAAGGAGTTTTATTAAAACTCAGTGTGCTGATCATTTTAATTACTTATTTTCTGTTGTGAAGAGTGCACCTGCAGGTGAATGATGAGTTGAAAAAGCGTTCAAGATGACTTGGCAAGGACAATTGTTAGGGATTTAAGCAAATTTTTTTCTTCAACGAGTTTTCTATGAAGTGTCTTTGAAAAGTTCCTTTTACTGGAAAAATGTGTGCAGCGATAACTTTCCACAGAAACTTTCTGGTGAAAGAATCCCGTAAATAAATACGGTTTATGCTTTTTCTCTTATACGCGTGTTCTCTTTCTCTTGAATGTCTACAAGAGTCATATACTTTTAGCGCTTTGTTTAGCCAAAGACTGGAAACATTTTTAACACGTATTTGTTTGCAAGTGTCTTATTACTTGACTTTTCCTCGCTCACGGCGCCCTAAAAGGCTTAGAGCAAAATGTCCTCGACATCGAAGATGGCGGCCGTTCTTCCCGCTAGCGTGAAAAGAACAGACAAGGGACGCTTTGGCGGAGCAAAAGCTTTTATTCGTAATAAGAATGCCGCAAATCGGCTGACACTTCCAGGTCTGCTCTCGAAAAACAAGAAAATGAAAAGGAAGTGCGTGATCCGGAAGTCTGCAGTAGATTTCCACTTCGCGGCCGTCGAGTTGTAGAATTAAATGTCCTCACTGAGGCTTTGGACGGGAGCTGTGAAGCGTGTGGGGCAGCTCTACGGCTCTCCGACTGCGTAAAAGAAACAGTCTCTGGGCTAGGATCACTACTCTACATAAACTGTTCAAACTCCGAGTGTGGAGAGACAAATATCTGTCGAAGAAACAAGACCCACCGCAGGTAGCACCGGAACAACGCGAGGGAGACCAATCTTTAATGTAAACACGAAGCTCGCTGCGGGTTTGTTTACATTTAATACAATGAATATATCAAGTTCATATATTTTGAACTGCGGTATTAAATACGTATGATACACGATCCTTTGCAGTAGATAGCGCTATTTATGCAATAGCGAAAATCAGACCTGAAAAAAACTCTGATTTTCGCTATTGCATAACCTTATTAACTTATTATTAACTTATTATGTCGATTTTAAAATCGACACATTTATGGGGATGCTACACGCAAGCATAGGTCCTACTCACCATCACTTGGAGAGTCCACGCTGAAGGCTCGCGAGAGGAAAGTAGGACCCGAAATTGAATAGTCGGCAAAGGAATCATGTCTGGAAAGTTTACAAAGCGAAAGAAACCTGTGGAAAGAGGATAATGAAAAGGAAAATGTGGCGATAGGCTAGGAGCGTCATATGACAGGGGATGACTGCAATCCCAAAACCATATCTA